GCCTAAGGTGATTTAGGGAGGGGCATTCAAAAAGGATATGGTTTACGGTTTCATAAGGGTGGGCGCAGTGTCTACAAAGGGGAGTTGTGTGGGATTTATTTTATTGAGATGGTAATTTAACAGGTGCCTGTCCTGTCCTTAGTTGCAAGATTGCTCTTTGTGGGGGAGGATGTCAATACTGTCCAGTTTGTTAGGCTTGTTCATTTTTTCGTACATGGCTCTGCCTGTGTTTCCTGTTGCTCTTTGTGGTCGTTGAGATTGGTATAGATTCAAATAAACACATTTTACAAAATTTAAAAAAAAACAAACACTATGGTGTAATCTCTTATGTGGGAGGGGGTAACTGGGAGAAGATTTCCATGCTGCTTTTAGGCGCTCAGTGAACACAACTCAGCAGAAGTTGGGATTTGAACTTGAGCCCTCTTGGTAGATACCCAAGTGGTTTTTGCCACTTTACAACACTGGGTTTGAGGGGAAGGTGAACTTTAGTGCTGGAAATGTTTTCATCTCAGTAAATCCTGATTCACAGTTTTATATTTCATAATTCTCAAGAACGTAATAATGAACTCATTTTTTTATAAAGTAAAGTAAAGTTCCCCTTTCAGATCTTGCAATCTACAGGTCAGATGATGTGAAGGTCATCTGTTTCTGTGGCTCATGATTAAGGAGGGTGTCATATGGCCAGCACAACAAGCAACCACCGTAACTTTTCCTAAACTGTCAAGTTCCCATCAAAGCTGGGTGGACTCAAAGATGCCAAAGATACTAAAATTTAAAAATCCCAGGATTCGAACCCAGGTTCCCAAGTTTGGAAGTCAAGCACTTTACCACAAAGCCACCATGCCTCCTCTTTTTTGATACATAAATAAATTTCCGCTTTAGTGGACTTAAACAAAAAATGTTTTATTTTTTAATTTAACCCCAAAAAATATTTTTTCCAATGAAGAAAAACAAATGGAACTAATATATTCTTCTGCCTTCACTGTTTGAACGCTATTAGATGAACTATTTGTTCAATTATGTGAATTAATTTGATTACGCTGTGTCTCCAGTACTTGTGAAATTTGATGTGAACACACTGAAGGACAGCTCAGAGCTGGACATTGAACAGGAGACCCCCCGTCACCACAGGATAGAGCCCTACAGGTAAGGGAATGTGCTTAGAAGTTTGACGGCATTCATGTCTGATACCAAACATTGTATCGGCCTCCATAAGAAACATGAATGTAATGTTAAGACGGAGTATTAGGGGAGTAGACGGTGGGGAAAGAGGAATACATTTGAATCTTATTTAGCAGGAGAGCTAAAAAGCGTTTACAATTAAAATATACAGTAGATAGATGGATTATATAGTGTTAACTAGAAAAACATAAAAAAAAACAAATCTTATATATTAAGTGTAGTTGTATCAATTAGTTTGGCTCAGTCATTTGTAATAGATCAAGACTAACAACAATAAATCTGTGCGATTAGAAATATTTTTTCTAAAATTTTTTTTTTGTTTTGTTTAGCGCAATGTCATGCTTTTAGCTTTCTCAATACACTGTGATTCTATCACTTGCCTGGACCAGTCAGAAAGGGGTGGGGAGAGAAAGAAGGGAATACCTGGGTGATTGTTTTTTAAATACATTTATAAAAAAAAAAAAAGGTGAACAAATTTGAGGATTAAAGCCTTTTACTTTCCTCAACTAAAGTCAGGTACCTATTAGAGCTGGGTGGACTCAGAAGCACCTTAAAAATCCAGAAATTGAAAATCCCAGTCTTCAATAAGATTCGAACCCACAGCTCCAGGTTCGGAAGCCAAGTGCTCTACCACTCATCCACCATGCCCCACAAAAAAAATGATTATATTCATTTATTTAGAAAAAAAATCAACATTAGTTTGACTTTTTATACATTTTCCCACCACTGTTAAAAAAAAAAAAAAGACTTCTTATCAGGGGGAAAAAATCATGACAATTGAAACCTTTTTTTCTCCAGATATTGCAGGCATGCTGCATGATTTGTTTTTTTGCACTAAATGTTTTCTTCTTGTCTATTTCAGGCCTGTGAAGACATTAGATCACATGTGGCTGAACCTTATTCAAAAAATGAACGGAGAGCTTGAAATTAGTTAGTCCTGACTACAGCGTGGATTGTTTCCATGTTCACAAGTATTTGTCAGCCTTCGTATTGAGCAGCTTGCGGCAACCGGGGGGATGCAACATTGAGACATGAACTTGAACAGCTTTGCTGTGCTCTTTCAGAAATTTGATCATTTCAAACAGAATACTCTGTTTATCAATGTTTAGAGTCATAGTGTTTAGTGTTTTATAAATACCTTTTCTAACGAACCATTCCACAAGTGACTTTTACTTAACGCCTGTTAAATGTCTAAGGGTTGCTCTTCCGTAGGGAAAAGTTTTAACTCTTAGAGTCTGCCGCCGACTTTCAGCATCTGCATTTGACATGATTTTTTTATGCTATGCTTGTGTAACTTTTCTGAGCTAACATTTACTAAGAGTCATATCATTTGAAGTAGAGTATTGAAAACCTACCAAAGTAGACTGTTCTTATACAAGGTAAAGTCTATCTACCAGTGATAATATATTTATTAATAAGTTGTATAGCCTGAAAGAGGCATATGTTTTTTTTTTGTAAAGATGTATTTATTTTTACATATATTTATATCATATTTGTAGATATTTTTTATGAACTGTTTATTCAGAGACTGATTTTATTCAGGTGTGACCTCCAGTTGTCAGCCATTCTGCTTGAACTTAAGTTCCCATAAACCGAGACCAATCGTTTTAGAAGGCCCAACACTGACCTGTGACTATGCCAAACAAACTGGACAGTATTGACTTCCTCCCCTGCAAAGAGCAATCTCCCAACTTAGAACAGGACACACAATTGTTAAATTACCATCTTAACAAAATAAATCCCACACAACTTCCCTTTTGTAGACACTGCGCCCACCCTTATGAAACCGTAAACCATATCCTTTTTGAATGCCCCTCCCTAAATCACCTTAGGCAGACCCTACTACCACTCCAGCCCAACATAACCAGCACCCTGTATGACATTGCTGAACAACTGAAGAAAACAGCACACTATTTTTCCTTGGCACAGTCTGCAAAAGAGCTGACAGCTCAGCAGCAAAAAGATGGCTAGAAGAAGAAGTGGGCAGTTTGGGAAGCTGTTGCCACGTCACTGGTTCGACATCATTGGTCTAAACTGCCTCCAGGTTGCGATGTTTGCAGGTCAGTGTTCAGGCCTTCTATAATGATTGGTCTCTAGTAAGTACACCAATGTGTTCTGCATATGTATCCTTGAGACCAGTGAGTTGAATCTAATCTGTGAAGGAGTGCCAATGACTCTTATCTTACCATCTCCTGAAATGATCTGATGTAATATTTACTTTGGGGGCTGTGAGCAACAATTCTAAATGTCATCCTTGTGCACAAGATTATCATTGAGACATTGTCCAAATGTAGATGGTTGTCAACAGGCAATCTTGTATTTAGTCTGTGACTGTCATGCCATGCTTAAACATTTGTATACATTTAAAGGCCTTGAACAATGATTTTTATGTCATTAGGAATCATATTTTTCAAATTTTTTTTTGTCAATTATATTGGCATGCTCTGTTGTATAGTCATTTAAGTCTGGGTCACACAGTCGCAGATTTATTGTATTCAATATGCTCAACCAGATCTACCTTGTTGTCTATTGTTTTAGTGTGAATAGTGAGTCATTAAGAAAAATTGATTCATTGCTAAACATTTGTATCCGATTTTTTTAGTTTTTAATCATATATTTTACAAATTATAGAAAATTCATTGGAAAATGCTTTGTCCACAACAGAAAGCGTGTAGATTGTCTTGTAGACTTTACAGAGGAATACAATCACCACAAACAAAAATGATTTTTAATTCTAGGTATATTCGTGGTAGAAAACATTGACCCTAAGCATTGAAATATGTAAACTGGCCAACGAGATGATTTGTATTTGTTCTCCACTACCATATAGATTATCATTATATCTTGTATTGGCGTAAACATTCTATGTATTTAGAAACTACAACTAGAGTGTTAGCAAGTCCAAGTGAACAAGTGCCATCATTACATTCACCATGTCAATATTTGCCCATTCTACTTCTATATGGTTTCTGTACAAAGTGGCTTCTTTCCATCAGTTTTTCTGTTTGTAAGAGAACTCAGAGATCATGTGAATTTGTTCTGCTCTGTTGCCATAATTTATGTTTGTTGGATGTAAATAATGTTATATTTCAATGTCTTGTGATACCAAATCATTTGTAGGTTTTGTTTTTCAAAAGTCCCTCATCCCCCTTTCATAGTTTTCAAGCTGCCATAATGTTTAGTGCCATACCATATATGTTAATGACTTGTGTATGTTCATTTTTGGCATAATATATCCTGGCCATCACTGCTGACCAAAGTTTTGTACGGTGGTAATAGCCACTCCACTAGGACATTGTTTAAAAAATGTATTCTGTAATCTCTTCCCTTCCATAATGTAAGTAAAATGCCAATTCGCTGTCATTTAACTGTCCTTAACAACTACCCATCCCATTGCTTCTGCCCTGCCTTCTTAGTCTCATTGAAGACATAGGAGAGAACTCCTGTAGGGTTTAACAATTTGTTTGATCAGTCGGTGCTCTGACACATATATTTCTCAGCATCTGCCAAGAGGAAGCCTTGAAATGGCTTATATTCTACAAGAACATTGGCGGCACTCCTGGCTAGAAACAGTTGCCAGACCTCAGTAAGAAATCTGTTTAAAAGTGGGCGAGCTCAATACATGTTTCCATCATTCGCAGCCATTGTATTATAAACATTGTGTACTATATGTACTGAACATCTTGTACATGTGACTTAGTTGTCCTGTGTTATGGTCATTCTAATAAACATGGTCTTACTATAGTCTTCTAGTGTTTTGGTGATTTTAACACAGGACACACACATTTCCACAGGAAGAAACAAACAAAACAAGTCTGTTGAATCATACAGTTTATTTTGAGTTCAACACTATAGACATTTTATTATTTTTAAATCAATGGATTTAAAAAGAAAAACAAACAACAAAAGGGCTTTAACAGTTTGAAGTTTCATGACAGCAAACAAATGGTCTAGGTATAGAGTATCAGCAAATAGCCAGGCCAAGAGGGACATGTCCCAAAACTGAAATTTTGGTTTAGCTGAGTACTCTACTATTTAGCAACCACATCCATTTCATTTATTAGATAACTGATTCATTCCATGAACTTAATCACATGTAACACAAGGCGTGAATGGGGGGGGGGGGGGGGAGAAACTCTGCCAGCTTTTAATTTGAATTAATTTGGGGGGTGGGGGGTCTGAAACTTTCAGTACAGGTCACTTAGTGAGATTAAAAACAATTAAATACAACATACAGGCAATAAACCGTTTTCATTGCAATCTGGACAAACACCATTTTACAAGTTCATTATTAGAACTATAAAAAAAACAATAACATGCAAGTTCCAGGATGATTAAAAAGTCCTTAACCATTAATAATCTACAACCAAGTTAAACAAAGAGATGGATAAATCTTTGATCCAGGACATTCAATGAAATATATGGAACATCTTTAATACAATTACAGTTGGGACAGATTCTAGCAAACCACAGGCCAGTTAACAATCATGTCTTTCTTAGCATATCCCACCGGCGGACAATGGTTATGCTTGCCTTAGATGTGGCAAAATATGTAGGTCACAGCTGGGGCTGCGTAGCCATGGGAAATACTGCAAACCTCATTAATCTTCAGACTCGAAGACAAGCCTTATTATTATTATAAACAGACTATGAAAAAAAAAAGACGTGAATGTAATATTCTGTGAAACCATGCTAAGGCTTCATGTTGTTACTTGGTAGTTCTCAACTGAGATAAATTAAAACAAAAAAAATGACAATGCAATGAAATCAGAAGATGGCCCTATGTACATAGGAAGTTCCACTATCAGTTCACCTTTTCGTAGGTGTGACAACACAAGAAAACTTGAAAACGCTATGCACTGGTATTTAAACTATATTTTTCTTTTCAGTCAGTAGCATACAATTCTGTGCTGAATGATCAGCCTAACCTTCAACCTACACGACAACGTCTATTCTTTCTCTTTCAGTTTCCCTTCAGCTATCCACTGTTTCTTCTTCTGGTGCTTCAGGTCAATCAGAAATTTCTCCAACTCTGTCAAGCTTTCCGTTTTTTTTGCTGTCCTCCTCTTTCTCCGCCGAGCTGTCTTTATCTGCCGATTCCCATTTGGAATGCGGAGCCTGGGCCTCTGGGTTGGCTGAGGGAGAAAGAGGCCTAGGCTGGGCCCTCAAAGGGGAAGTAACAGGTGGTTCACCTGGGGACTTATCTTTCATCAGAGACTCCTTTGTATTTCGAGAAGCTGAGTTATCCCTTGAGGGCTCTTTTTGTTCAAATCTATTTTTTGAGATGGAGTTTTCTTGGGATTTTGTCTTTTTTTCGGACCCAGACTTCAAATCTTTTGATGTTGACCTTTTTCTCTGACTCTCTTTGGACCTTGACCTGGACCTTACTCTGCTTTCTTTTTCTGAAGATCCTGACCTGTATCTTTTGCGCTCCTTAGATGAGGATCGAGATCTATGTCTCTTGCGTTCCCTTGAAGAAGAACGAGACATATGTCTCTTGCATTCCCTTGAAGAAGAACGAGACATATGTCTCTTGCGTTCCCTTGACGAAGAGCGAGACATATATCTCTTGCGTTCCCTTGATGAAGAACAAGACCTATATCTTTTCTGATCTTTAGAGGAAGATGCTGGTTCCCCCTGAGAATAAGAGTTGTAGAACCTACTCCTCTGATTATGCCCCTTCCAAAATCTTTCCCGAAACGTGCCACGAGGTGTGTAGCCTTTTCCTTGATTGGGGTTGTATTTGTTTTGGTAATCCATTCTGTCGGAGTACAATTTGTTTGGGTATTTGTCATTGGTTGCCTCGCTGTACCTCCTGGAGGGACCTCCTCCTGCATCCTCATCAAACTTCCTCTTTAAGATCCTCTCGTTCCTTTCAATCCTGAGTTTTTCCTCCTCTTGCCGGAGTCTCTCTTGGACTCTTCTCTCTATCTCTTTCTCCAAATCAGCCTCTTTGGGCCAAGGCTTCATCTGATCTACTTTGTTATCCTGACTTTCAATGATTTCCTCTTTTATTAACTTACTAAGACCCTCCACAGTCTGGCCTGAATGTGCTTCTTCAGACTTCGATGGAATCTCAGTAGACTCATTGGAAGCAAGCTTTTTATTATGTCTTGCTTCTGGTTCAACATCAGACGAAGGTGAAAGAACATTAGAAGATGGGTTTACTTTGGTCCTGGCAGTAATTTTGAGAACTGTTGTTGAGTCTTTTGGCTCAGTCTTAGAGTTTTGACTCGGCATAGTGGCAGCTAGTGCATCTTCCATTGTCTTCATACTACCAGCATCATCTCTTTTAATGGCTGTTTGTTTGCCGATGGCATCAAACTGATTGGCGTCTTTTGGACCAAACTTCCCGAATCCAGAAACTGTGATGGTTGCATTAAAAGGCTGTACTTCTGCAATGCTTTTCTTAATAGGGCTACTTTTTTTAACTGGATTGACAAGGTCAGGCCGTACAGGGGAAGTTTTATCTGTCAGTTTACCCAGAAGTTCTTGTTTTCTTATCTTGGGTGACAACCCAGTTGGATTTTGTTTAGGAGAAGGCCCATGGCTGATTTTGTCGTCAAGTTTAGGAAACAGACCGTGGCTTCTGATATCTTGCATGGTAGACACACCACTGTTTTTAACGCCACGTTTGGGAGATAGCCCACGGCTGCGTCTGGGAGATAGGTCATGGCTTTGTTTCGGAGATAGCCCACAGCTGCGTTTGGGAGACAGGTCATGGCGTGGTTTTGGTGATAGTCCACGGCTGCGTCTCAGAGATTGGTCATTTCTATTTTTTATGTCACTCCTCCTTCTCGTTGGACTTTCCCTTGACCAGGATTTTGATCTTGATCTTCTCTGGGCTCTTGGAGATCTTTTTTCTAGATTTGATTTCAACACATATGCTTGAGCCGCAAGAGACCTAGGGGTAGAGGGGGATTTAGAACTTCTATATTTGGCTGTTGATCTGTTTGGAGGGGATCTAGAGCTGGTATACATAGTTGCTGATCTAGTTGGAGGGGATCTAGAGCTGGCATATATGGCTGCAGATCTACTAGGAGGAGATTTAGAGCTAGTATACTTGGCTACTGAGGTGTTTGATGGTAAAAAAGAATCTAATAAGCTAAGCTTTTGTTTCACACTTTTTAAATATTGCTTGGATCCCCCAAGATACATGTCAAGCTCTTTAATACCTGTTATCGGAGATGGAGACTTCATTTTGATGTTCAAGACATTTTTACTTCTGTCACGTGATCTGCTACGGCTGCTACCGCAGCTGCTGAACGATCTACTTCTACGATTGAGATGTCTGCCCCTAGACCTGCTTCTGCTGGAGCTAAGTCTACTTCTGCGTGGGCTGCTCCGGTTTAAGGATGTGCTCCTAACGCTGCGCCGACGTCTGCCTCTTTCCCGAGACCAGCTTCTATCCAAAGACCTACTGCGGCTGGTAGATCTGCTCAATGTTCTTCGATTAACTTTTCTGCTGCCTCTAGGGGAGCGTGAATCTCTTGAAGACACAGAGGCAGAACTAGATCGGGAGTAGGGACGAAACCTTCTGTATCTGTCTTTGTTATCCTTATAAAACCTTTCCCTCTCGGCCATCAGCAGCTCATCTCGCCTCCTCACGCTATCCTCAGGGAGTCTTTTCGTGGTCAGCTCTTTCCCCCCCGGTGGTTCTTCTTCCTGCCTGGTGGGCCTCTCTACTATGGCCATTTCTGTGCGGCCAGTGGGTTTGCTGACGTCGGGAGATGGACTGCTGAGGCCAGGTATGGCAGTGGAAGAACTGAAATACTCCTTTGAGGTTACTGGCAGGTAGGAGCTTGTGCTGCCACTTTGAATAATCCTGCTAAAGGTTTCCTCATCTTCTAGGCCTTTGGGTGGTGGAACTAGAAAGAGAAAATGCAAGCATGAAACGAAAAAATTACAAATCTTATAAAGCAATGTCTAAAAACATAATTGGCCATCCATTTAAATATGTAAAAACCAATTGTAATTGTTACATCTTGTCCAAATAATATACTCCACTTAATTTGTTACATTACCAAGTAGGTAAATAAACATTTTTTTTGTAGATGCTAGTGGCTAACTATCAACAATGATCAGCCCATTTAAATTTTCTACTGTGAATATATTTAGACACTTGAAGGACGAGGTATATACCCCAATCTGCCCCAAGATACATTCCAAGTTGAGATGAGCAGCTCAAGAGTCAACCACTCTTTAGAACCATGGTAGTGGCTGAGTGGGAAGTGCTTGTCTTCCGAATCCTGTTGAACACTGGGATTTTTTTATTTGGGGATCTTTAGGGCGCTTCTGAGTCCACCCAGCTCCAATGGGTATCTGACATTAGTTGGACAAAGTAAAGGCGGTTGGTCATTGGCCTGGCCACATGACACCCTCATTAACGGTGGGCCAGAAAAACAGAAGACCTTTATATCACCTGCTCCTGTTAGGGATGTATGTGTGACTTGTACTTAATGTATTTCTACAGTAACTTGATAATAATCCTAGATGCTTGGGTTTACTGTACCGGTATAGTGTATTACATGTGCAAGTTCAAACAAGAAACATACAGTGACAAAAAAGGATGAATGCACAGTATCTAGGTTCACTTGTGATGAAATTGAATAACGAACTTTAATACAGAATGGACCACAGTCAAGTCAGTAACTAGATATGATGTTATTCCTTCAAGAGCCTAGTGGTAACTCTCCTAAATGTCTACATCATAATCTCTAACCCAATGACTATGTCATCACTAAAATGTGGCGCTCTCAAAGTCTGTCTCCTACTAAACTAAGTATCTAACACCCTATAGATCACAAGATCTGAAAGGGGGAACTTTACTTATTTTTTTTATATTACTAGAGGACCAAGCCACATTCACATACATTTTGTAGTTTTCAATATTCCATTACTTTTTTTTTCTCAGGAACCTAAACACTTTTTGATAGTCCAGTTTCTTTGTTCTCCCCCCCCCCCCCATGTGTCACTATGTCTCTTCTTAAGTGTATTATTAGTGCTTGTAGTGTGACACTTAACTCAAAGTCTGTGAACATATTGCCTTGAAAGGATCAAATGTTGAAACGAGAAGGTCAGATGTTGCAATGAGAGGGTTGCATGTTTCAATGAGAGGGTTG